AATCTCTGCATTTCATGTATTTGCAGAATCTGGCTTCCAATCAATTACCTGGTTTTACTTTGTGAAATTAAAACTGAAAAGCTCCAAACTTCTCCAGATTTTTCAGAGCGGAGAGGAGTCTGTTTTTGTGTAGAGCCTGTTGATGAGAAGGGAAAATAAGAGGAGGAGAGAAAGAGAAAGAGGAGGAGGAGGAGGAGGAGGAGGAGGAGGACGGTCCTGGAGCCAGATGAAAACACAGCAGCGGGTTCTGGTTGCGCGCCGCTGTTAGATAATCGCATCTTTTCTTTGTTCACGCGCGGCGTGGAAAGGTGGAAACACTGATGGGAGGCTGGAGATCAGAGCATCTGCAAACTTCATGATGTCGGAGCAGCGCAGCTGATGCAGCTCCAGCTCCAGCTGAGGAGGAGCTTCTTTCTGCAGGAGGACGGAGCGGCTGCGCTCTGACAGGTGACCCAGCTTCACTTATCTTTTTATCCAACTTTATTTTATTCAGATGACAGGTTTGTTTAAGAGCAGCTTCACATCAGCACTGGCTCCCACTCTATCATGGAGTCCAGAAGTTCTCAGCAGGTTCAGCGGAGACTAATAAAGCAGCAGATTTTCATCGTAGTTTGATGGAAAAGGAAAAATGCGTCAGAGGATCCAGAAAGAAAGTGGAAACAGTGGCGGGATTATCCTTCAATGCGTCCTGATGCTTCTGACGCGAACAATGGGTTAAAATCAATACTTTGCAGGATTCAGATTAAAATCAGATTAACAGAGAGATACCCTGCTGCTTCAGATGTTTTTGGACATCAGTGATTTGATATTTATTAGTGTTTCACTGATGCCATTTTTTGGTCTAATACCGATACCTGGCTGTGCGGTATCAGCTGATACCAATACCATACCGATACCATCTGTTTGAAATTGGTATCAGCTGATACCAATACAGTTTGAAATAAATTGATGTGTGTATATATGAAGAACTGCATACTACGTGGATGTAAAATAATTGCCATCATGGCTTTGTCAAGCTGCTGCCTACCTTTATGAAGCAGGAAAAAGACATTAGTTGAATAAACTTTTGGCTCTCAAAAAGGTATCGGTGCCCTATTTGTTGGTACTGGCCGATACCGATGCCACCATTTTATTGCTGGATCGGGGCCCCACCCGATATTGGTATCGGTGCAACACTAATATTTATACCTTCTTTTTGGCTCTGGGATTTGATCTTTTCACACGATGCTGAGGGAATATAGCCTCGTGAGACCATCCTGATCTCGCGAGCTTTCAAGGTTTCACTCGCAGATCAGTCTGGAGACTCTCCGTTAAAGAAAATTTGGAGCCGTTCGCCAAACGAACGTCCAATCAGCGTTGGCTTTGAGGCGGGTTTAGGTGTGACGTAACGAGAAGCGCAACAGTTCAGTCTAAAGAACATGGCGGCTTCAGCCGATGAAACTAGCGCTAGCGTGGCTATCGAGCAAGTTTTATCGGAATTACAGAGTATTTCTTCGCTGAAAGAAGAGCAAAACACTGCTCTGGAGGCTTTTCTCAGAGGAAAAGATGTTTTTGCTCTTCTCCAGACTGGTTTCCTCAATAGTTTGATTTATCAATTGGCTCCTCTTCGTCGTTGCTCTGTTAGTACGTCATATGCTTTGTTGATCTGATTTGTTTATTTGGCCCGTCTATCACCAACATAGGCCAATCAGCTAACCAGTATTTTCGCACCTTCCCAAAATTACTTCAACGGAAGGTTTCCAGATGGATATGAGGAGCAAATCCATCTGACGGAGTCAGGTTAGAGGGAATATGGGAAGGTAATATTCTGTTTAGATAGAGTTTTCTAATACATTTTTTGACTTTCATTTTCCATTAAGAAATGGCAAGTTTTAAAACAGCTGGGGAGATTTGCTGAGGAAAAGTTGGATAAGATGGGGATTCGGAGTAATAATCTGTCTTAGAACAGATAAAACAAGTTTCAATGGTATGGAAGGCTAGACTGGCAAACATTTGGACCGCCACATATTCTTCCTGTTGGATCATTTACAGTGAAGAAAAGAAGTATTGAACACCCTCCTGTTTTGCATTTTCTCTCACTTAGAAATCATGAAGGATCTGAAATTGTCATCCTAGGTGCATGTCCACTGTGAGATACATAATCTAAAATAAAAATCTAAAAAAACACAATGTATGATTTTTTAACTATTTATTTGTATGATCCAGCTGCAAAAAAGTATTTGAAAACCCGAGAAAATCAATGTTAATATTTGGTTCAGTAGCATTTCTTTGCAAATATAGAGGTCAGAGGTTTGCACACACTGTAGGAGGGATTTTGGCCCACTCCTCTACACAGATCTTCTCTAGATCAGTCAGGTTTATGGGCTGTCACTGAGAAACGCGGAGTTTGAGCTCCCCCCAAAGATTCTCTATTGGGTTTAAGGCCTAGAGACTGGGTAGGCCATGCCAGAACCTTGATATGCTTCTTCCAGAGCCACCCCTCCTGGCTGCGTGCTTCGGATCATTGTCATGCTGGAAGACCCAGCCTCGACCCATCTTCAATGCTCACAACCCATGGCCCCGGTCATCCTCTCCTTAATACAGTGCAGTTGCTCTGTTCCATGTGCAGAAAAACACCCCCAAACCATGATGCTACCATCCCCATGCTTCACAGTGGGGATGGTGTTCTTGGGATGGTACTCATCATTCTTCTTCCTGCAAACACAGTTACTGGAATTATGACCAAAAAGCTCTATTTTGGTCTCATCTGACCACATGACTTTCTCCCATGACTCCTCTGGATCATCCAAATGGTCATTTGCAAAATTAGGACAGGCCTTAAAATGTGCTGGTTTATGCTAGGTAACCTTCCGTACCATGCATGATTTCACTCCATGACGCCTTAGTGTATTACCAACAGTAACCATGGAAACGGTGATCCCAGCTATTTGGAGGTCATTGACCAGCTCCTCCTGCGTAGTTCTGGGATGATTTCTCACCTTTCTTAGGATCATTGAGACCCCACCAGGGGATATGTTGCATGGAGACCCAGTCTAAGGGAGATTTACAATCATGTTCTTTTTCCATTTTCTAATGAATGCTCCAACAGTGGACCTTTTTTCACCAAGCTGCTTGGTTATTTCCCCCGTAGTCCTTTCCAGCCTTGTGACGGTGTACCGTTTTATCTCCAGTGTCTTTGGACAGCTCTTCGGTCTTTGCCATGTCAGTAGTTGGATTCTTACTGATTGTATGGGGTGGACAGGTGTCATGATTATATTAATTCTAAGGTCTGACCCCGAGATGCAGAAGACCAAACAGAGAGACCAGGGAAAAGTTCAAATAGGTTTATTTAGTTATGATGTGAGGAATCCAGTGCTGCTCTGAGCACTGCTCAACAGGGACTGAAAGGTGAGGGGAAGAGACTGCGGTTAGTTCAGGCTCAGTGGGAAATTAGAATCTTAGGTTTTAGAATTGGAGGACAAGATTGCAGACTCACTTCTCCGGGGAAAGATGTCCTTTATGGAATCCAGACTGTGAGGATTAAACCAGAGATTGTCTTGTTTGGTGATGGGTGGACTGGGTTACTCAGGCTGCAGTTGTTCCCTGGTGAATGAAGAAGCTGACTGCCACTCTGATTTCCTGCGGTACTTGAACGGGCTGTAGTGCTGAAGAAATCCTGGTTTGGTGTGAAGCTCAAACGACCTCTTGGGAAAGTTGATCCAAACTTCCTGTTTGGAGTGAACAGAGAAGCTGACTGCCACTCTGATTTCCTGCGGTACTTGAACGGGCTGCGGTGCTGATGAAACCTTTGCTCGGTGTGAAGCTCGAACGACCTCTTGGGAAAAGTTGATCCAAACTTCCTGTTTGGAGTGAACGGAGAAGCTGACTGCCACTCTGATTTCCTGCGGTACTTGAACGGGCTGCGGTGCAGATGAAACCTTTGCTCGGTGTGAAGCTCGAACGACCTCTTGGGAAAAGTTGATCCAAACTTCCTGTTTGGAGTGAACGGAGAAGCTGACTGCCACTCTGATTTCCTGCGGTACTTGAACGGGCTGCGGTGCAGATGAAACCTTTGCTCGGTGTGAAGCTC